TATATTATATATATATATATATATATATATATATATATATATATATATATGGTTATTATCTCTTCATAGTATAAACACTTCATTAGTAAAAAAGAAATGGCAATTATGAAGATGCTCATGATGTTAGTGGTGGCTGCAATTTTATTTTGCAGTCACCATCAAGTGATCGTGGCGAAAGAAGTCGCCCTGGTTGATGAGGGAAATGAGTCATCAAGTGATCGTGGCGAAAGAAGTCGCCCTGGTCGATGAGGGAAATGAGTCATTAAGCTCATCCCCATTTGATTTTCTATGTCAATATTTGTCGTGGCCGTATCCTTGGGCCACAACCATGCCCTCCTCCTAGGCCTAGGCCACGACCACGACCACAACCATGCTCACCACCACCTCCACCACCGAGATCGCCACCACCTCCCGCCCCCGCAACGACTTGCTCGGCTAGTGACCAACAACAAGTGAAGACATGCATGTACGAGACAACTTCAATCGATGTGTGTTGTCCCGTATTCAAAAAGATACTTGGAACTAGTTGTCCTTGTCATAAATATGCTGAGGATTTGGACAATCAAATCTTGATCACTCTTGAAGCTTATTGTGATGTTACTACCCCATGCAAGGGTGTACAAGTAAGTCGATCGTCGTCAATCATTTTTATCTGTCGTTTAAGATTTTAATCCACTTTTTTATTTATGAACACATTCCTAATGTTGTATTATGTTAATTAATTTCAGGTGATTAAGCTATCCGATGAGTAAATATGAAGTGTTTAATGGTTAATTATTTCAGATCTTGTTTTAGATTATTTTAATCTCTTTATGTTGAAAAGTCTCTAGCTAATTAATAATTAATAACTATGTAATTACACATCAGCAATTTTATTAGTACTAATAAAGGTGTTTTTATATTGTTATTCATTGTATTGTATTGTGTCGTTACTTAAAATGTATTGTGTTGTATTGTTAAATTTCGTTGTTAAGTAACAATGTAAATCCTCATTTTATGGAACAACTGATTTGGTATGTTCCCATTGTTAATTTCTTTTTTCAATCATATCCTCGCATAATATTTCATAATACTTTTTTACCCTTCACCCTATATTATTTAAATTTAGATAAAAATCCTACCCTAGAATAATTAAGGATATTTGAGTAAATTTATAAATACAACACAATACGATACAATCAAACCAAATGTTATTAAACAACAACAAACAATATAGTCTATCCAAACGTTGTATCTCCATACAATACAAAACAATTGAGTACAATATCACACTTGAAATCGAAATGGTGTAAGAGATGATCATTCGATATCCTATTCCTAAAAGACTAGAAATCCTGCCTTTCGGCATTGCGATAAAGTGTTGACAGAGCAGAGTGAATGACAATCGATTCTCTAATTAATTTTCTCCTTAAGATGGTGTAAGAGATAAAATCAATTGGGCTTCTATTTCATGCTTTGGGCTTTGTGCAAACTAAATAGATTAGACAATTTCGGTTATTGAAAAAATTATTGAAAATACACGTCTTATATTTATTTTATTTATAATATTTCTTTCGAATTCTGAAAACCTCTAAAAAAATTTATTTCTTTAATGTATTCGAACTGTATATTAATGTATTCGAGCTAATATTTAATATATCCAAGCTACGTATTACTGAAAAATCATGTTTGATGTTTTGTAACAAAGTTTAGATATTTTTAAATATTATTATTTCATTCTAATATTAAAAATTAAACTCAACAAATTATGGAGTTTGACGTGACATCGTTGACTAAAAATATGATAATTATAGATCCAAATCATGTGGGGGATATTTGTTAGTAATTAAATATTAACTAATGATGATTCTCAAAAAAAATACTAAATTACCTTTTTTTGTTAGTCATAAAGTCATCCAATCATGTGATTAAGTTTCTTATTCTTCCATTCAAACTCACACTTTACCTATAAAAAATTCCTTCTTTTTTTTTTTAATGTTTGATGTTTGATTTTCGATATTTTATATAGTATTCGATAAAATTTAAATTCATATTAAGAAATTTATATTTGAGGTAAAGTGTTTTTAACAAAGATGACTCTATACTGTTAAAAATGAAGGAATACTTACTACTTTATGACAATCTTTGTTGATCAGTTTTTACCTGTTTATTTAATTTGTCTGATATGTTTCGAATTTAGTTTTTCATATTTAATTATAGAATTTTTTTGAAATATTTTTTTTTAGTTTGTTATTTGATATTTAATATTGTATTGAAACTTGATTAATTCAGATTCACATATTTCATGACTAAGTTTTTAAATATATTTTTTCCTGAATTTAAATTATGGACATTTATTTAAGAATGAAGCTCATTCCAGCACAACTTACGCTGATTTTTATTGAAATATTTATTCAAAAAAATTAATCTAACTTGATTACTGATTAGATCGATTTATATGTCAGTCAAAGTGGTTTAATTATCTGACTTCTTTTTTTTTATCTTATTCATTAGAGTTTAAATCTCCACCTTATAATATCCTCCTATTTTTTTCTTTCCTTACATTCGATATATACTAATAATAATAATAATAATAATAAAAATCTCAAATATAAAATGCATATCCTAGTTTGGCACCAATCAATTAAAGGTTTCTCTTGGAGAATTTTCATAAATTCTTTTTTACAACCAACAAAATTTATATGTACAATTGAATATTGTGAAGAGTTTAATAATATCTTTGTTGAAAAAGAAAGCCTCAAAAATTAAGAAAATAAGTTTGATGCGAATTTATCAGATCATATTTAAGAATTTCAATATTTGAATCAAGGTTTCAAATAAAATTAAGTGAGTTCTTATAAAAAAAAATGTGAAATCTTATCAAGTAATTTTTATATTATTATGGATCTTACCAATAACTTATGATAGCCTGTCAAATTAAATTTTAATAAAGAAATAATTAATGCGACAGAACGTTATTTCTACTTATCAAAATTATTTCCAAGTAAGTAGTTATGTTATAACTCGATTTTCGACAAAACATCGAAATTATTGTAATATTAATCTTATACATATATTTCTTCTTTTTAAGTTATCACATTTTCATTGATTGACACATTTTACCATCATATTCTTTTTATTATTATTATAGACGTTGCATTACTTTTTTTATTAATTCTCCTTTCACATGTGCTTGATTTTTTTTATTTTTAATTAAGAAAAAAAATAGAATATGCATATCTTTTTTATTATTCTCAAATTCCACTTATAATTATATATATTTTTTAATTTATATGGTACTTTTTGTTTTTTGAGAGTCGATAAATTTAAGTATGACTGAAAATTTACGCGTGTAATCTTTATAATTTTTTGAAATGAAATTTATGTATATATGTAAATTATGTGAAAAGTATAATAAGTCACAATAATTGACAATTCAGAATAATTAAAAGATATATAAAAAAAATTATCGTTAAAAATAGATTTGTCTAAAACACTTGAAATTTAAAAAATGTAACATAAATTAAACACGAACTGATATAATTTTTTTTTTCATATTTCAAGAGTCCAAGTCTTTGTCTACCACGTGAATAAAATGTAAAGTTTTTATAATAATAATATTATTGCACCTAGTGGAAATTGGGAATAACATACATTATTGTCCTTTTATTCTGAACAAATTTGAATTATAATCACGTGGAATATCAATTATTTATTTTCACCACCTACTACAATTTTGCTTCTAATTCCCCACCTACCAAACAAACCTTTGTCTATATCTATATATATATATATATTACAAAGAATTTTTTGAAATACGAGAAGATTGTTTGAGATATGATTTGGATATATTTTATATCAATTTAAAAATAAGTTTGTTAGTTTAAAATTTTAATAATTAAAGATGTTAAAATAAAAAATAGTTTTGCATTAATTTTTTTTTTTAAAGAATTTGACTTTTTTCAACGTGACCTATTATATAAGTCAATTAGAAAATGAAACGAATTTGAAAGATATCAGACTTCTAGTAAGAGTAGGTATATCTTAAATTGCGTAAATTTAATATAGTATGAAAGGATATTTTCTTTGAAAGTATATAATTTGCATTTTATATAGATGTAAACTTAATGAAAGATAAAATACAATGAATTTTTTTTTCATATAAATAGAAATATCTACTTGTTGAAAATATTTTGTTTTATAGATTATATTAAATAAATTTAAAAGAAAAAGTAGATTTAGATATCGGTCCTAATTTATTAGGTTTAAGGCAAAATTATATTATTAATTTATTCTACAATTTCAATTTTAACTTGAAAAAAATAATTAAAGTTTGAAAAACAGACTTAGAAATATTTTTAGTTTTCATTCATAAAATTTCATTATTTTTTCTGTGTATTCCATGGCTATAATCCGTATTTATAGATTAAATTGACTTTAATATTTGACGTTTGTAAAAATAATGTGTCATTTACTACTACTTTTTTAGTAGATTTACCTAATTCTTTGGCTAATTTACTTTTCATTGATGTTTGTACAATTAAATTAATTAATAAAAGTTTTTTTTCCGGAAATTTAACTTGTTTTAATATTATTTATCTGGATAATTTTTAATTGTTACAACAAAATGTTTCTAATATAAAAAATATAGTATACTATATAATATGAAAAATCGATTTCTAAAAAGACGTAACTATTATAGTGAAATGGCTATTATTGTTAAGGTTTTGCCCTGATTTTTTTTTCATATTTGAATTTTAATTTTTACCGAAGGAAAATTATAGCATTATCATAAATACTTTAGTTTTTCTTGAAAGGAAAATATAATCACTTCCATATTTGGTTTATTATTTCATCGGAGAAAAAAGTTAGGAGATTCATATCAACACAAGAATTTCGATAGATATTTAAGATTTTAGTTTATAAAGAGATTTATTATTTAAACAATTTATAATATCTTTTTGTATTAGTTTTCATATAATAATATTATGTTTTTAGTTAAATTTTTGTTATATAATCTGCAATTTGTAAGCTTATGCATTACGCTCTAATCACCCCTTCATAACTGAATACTTATAATTTTAAAAATAATATATGAAATAATTACTTTATTGAAAAAAAATATAAAACATGATCCGTTAGGAATGGATTTAATTAGTCATTATCGAAGAAATAATATTTTATGCAAGTGGGATCTATATGGCATTGAATTATGCAAGTGGATCTATATGAATTTAATTAGTTATTTTTCGAAGAAATAATATCTAAACTAACTCTAATAAATTATTTTTGTATATATATAGATTTTTATTATCTCTTCATAGTAAAAATACTTTATTAGTAAAAAAATGACAATTACGAAGATGCTCATGATGTTAGTGGTGATTGCAACTTTATTTTGCAACCACCACCAAGTGATCGTGGCGAAAAAAGTCGCCCTGGTTGATGAGGGAAGTGAGTCACTAAGCTCATTCCCATTTGATTTTCTATGTCAATATTTGTCGTGGTCGTATCCATGGCCACAATCATGCCATCCTTTCAGACCAAGGCCACGGCCACGACCACGACCGCAACCGCGACCACAACCACGACCACAACCATTCTCACCACCACCTCCACCACGGAGATCACCATCACCTCCACCACCGAGATCGCCACCACCTCCACCACCAAGATTACCACCACCGCCCGCCCCGACAATGACTTGCTCGGCTAGTGACCAACAACAAGTGAAGACATGCATGTACGAGACAACTTCGATCGACGCGTGCCCTATATTCAAAAAGATACTTGGAACTAGTTGTCCTTGCTATAAATATGCTAATGATTTGGACAATCAAATCTTGATCACTCTTGAAGCTTATTGTGATGTTAGTACCCCATGTAAGGGTGTGCAAGTAAGTCGATCGTCGTCAATCATTTTTATTTGTCGTTTAAAATTTTAATTCACTCTTTTATTTATAAATATGTACCTAATGTTGTATTATGCTAATTAATTTCAGGTGATTAAGCTATTCAACGATGAGCAAAGATGAAGTTTGTGATGCTTAATTATTTTGTGTTTAGATTATTTTAATTTCTTTATTATGTTGAAAAGTCTCAAGCTAATTAATAATTAATAACTATGTTATAAGACTTTTAATTCCTAGGGGTACTTTTGTAATTGCGCAAGCAATTTTAGTAGTATTAATAAAGATGTTTTTGTATTGTTATCCATTTGTATTGTATTATATCGTTATCATACTTATAATATTTGTTTTAATTGATATAATGACCTTTTATATTGATAGCAAACACGAAGCAAGAAATTAAAAAAAAAAAATCAAAATTTTTACTATTTTTTTCAAAGCACGTGTATCATGATGCTAAACTAAATTATCAACTACACCTTTACTAAAGCCACACCTACCACAAAATTTTAAAAAAAATTAAAAAAATAATAAAAAAAGACTTGATTTTATAGTCTTAGATATATCATATAAAGAGAGTTAAAATTAACGATTTGCGAAAAAATAAAGAGATAATTCTTCTTAAACGGATTAAAAAAAGTAAAATAAATAAATTAAAAGAAAGAGAATATTATATATAGTGTATAGATACTCTTTTTGTCATGTTGCATTATTCGAAAGTCAATTTGATTAATTTTAAAAGTTAAATTATATTACATTAATTCGATATTTTAGACAAAAAATTTAGATATTCAAAAAGTATATGAAAAGTACTATAAATTGCATTTTTTGTACATCAATATGATGGAAAAATACATCTTAAAATCTTAGTAAAAGAATTCTTATAGTTTGACTATAAATATAGAAATCATGACAAACAACTATGGACGGAGAGAGTAGGACCAAATAAAATATCTAATTGTTTTTCTTTCTAGCCACATAAATTTAGATATCCAAAAAGTATATGAAAAATATTATAAATTGCATTTTTTGCACATCAATATGATGAAAAAATATATCTTAAAATCTTAGTAAAAAAATTTTTATAGTTTGATTACAAATATAGAAATCATGACAAACAATTATGGACGGATAGAGTAGGACCAAATAAAATACCTAATTGTTTTTCTTTCTAGCCACATAAAAATTTATTGAGTCATTTAAAGAATTTATTTAATTTTTTCTATAAATTAATGTGAGTTTACCTACTATTCCATCTATAATTTATTTCAACAAAACAACTCTACTAGCACTACTATGCAATAATGCAAGTCATAGAGTTTACTAATTAATGTTCATTTGATATTTTCCAAATTTAAAAATATAGGGGACATAATTTTTTGAGATCCACATCCAATTATAGTATTCTTGGTGGCCTTACATGTTAAAAAGAAATAATAAATAATAAAAATAATTTTATTATATTATTGTTTAAATGATGGCGGATCCAGAAATTTTATTTTGTGGATGCTCAATTATTTTTAGATTGATAATTGTTGTACAAAGTGAGTACTTAGTTAATATATTTGAATAAATTATTAGATATTACAAACAAATATTAATGTTTTTTGCAAAAAGTAAATAATCCGTAACATACATCCTTCAGAGTATAAATATATTATATTTAATATTTTCAAAAATGCAATATTACATATTAAAGGATAAAATAGACATAAAAGAATTTAAATTATATTTCAATTTTTTAAACCAAATAAGTATCATAGAACAACTTTAATGTGATTACATAAAATAATAGGCATAATAAAAAATATAATGTTATTATCTTTAATGTGGTGCATAAAATAATGATATTGTTATTTATTTTATTTTTTTTAAAAAAGGTACTATCAAACAAGACCAATAAATGATGGCTATAATGACTGTTTTTTTAATATTAAATTATAAATTAAAAAGCATACCTACCATATGTTAACCTTATTAATTTAATAGTATATATAGATGTGTTATATTATTACTGTATGACACAAATCATTCAAAATATGGCAACTATGAAGATGTTTATGATGTTAGTGGTGGCTGCAATCATGTTTTGCAGCCACCACCAAGTGATCGTGGCTAGAGAAGTCGTTGTGGACGTGGTCGAGGATGGGAATAAGTTAAATTTATGGCCATGGGAAATTCCGTGTTACTTACCATGGCCATTTCCCTTTCCGCGACCATATCCATGCCCTCCTCCAAGACCACGACCACGACCACGACCATGCCCACCACCTCCACCACCACGATCACCACCACCTCCACCACGATCACCACCACCTCCACCACCAAGCCCTAGCCCTCCCCCTCCCGCCCCGGCTACAACGTGTTCGCCCGGTGACAAAGCAAGGGTGAAGACTTGCATGTTCAACACAACTTCAATTGATGAGTGTTGTCCAACATTCCAAAGCATACTTGGAACTAGTTGCCCTTGTTACAAGTATGCTGAGGATTTGGACAATCAAGTCTTGATCACTCTTGAAGCTTATTGTGATGTTAGCACCCCTTGTAGGGTAAGTTATCATCTTTATAAATCTTTTCAAATACTCCTAGTAAGAATAGAATCAGGGTGTGCACTAGTCTGGTTAAATTAAATTAAATCAAATTTTTATTTGGATTAGTTTTTTGGTTTTTTTGATTGGTTTTGGATTAATAAATCGCTTTGTTTGATTTCAGATTTAGAAAAATCATATTCGGAAAAAAAAACAAATTATTTAGAGAAAATCTTTCTAGCCAGAAAATTTTGTCAAAATTATATTTTGTCTATGTTATTTTACATTTTAAAACAGAATTACTCTTTTAACTTAGAGAATGGAAAAAACATCAGTTTATTTTAAAGTAAAAAAAAAAACATTATAGTTATTTTAATTTTCTAGCCAAATTTGGAGTTAATTACTTTTATTCCTTTTTGGTTATTGTCTTTCACGATTCGTTTATATTGTATGCTTGAACATCTATAATAGGTATATTTATAGGTATTGTGTTTTATGTTTTTCTTATGATTTATATTAGAAAGTATATTTAAGAGATTCGATATTATTCTTTTGGTTTATGTTATTAATTATTGACATAACCAAATAACCAAACCGAATAGAGGAAAACTAAACCACAAAATCAAAATTATTTTGGATCGATTGGGTTACACTTTTACAAACTGAAAAACTGAATGCACACCCCTAAATGAAATTCAAGATATTTTTAAAATTATTCTTCGAATTAATAAAATTACTCTTTTATTTATAAATACAGAGTCCGCCCCCGAAACCGAGTTGCCCTGCTAGTGATCAAGAAAAAGTGAAGACTTGCATGTTCAACACAACTTCAATTGATGAATGTTGCCCTACATTTAATAGCATACTTGGCACTAGTTGCCCTTGTTATAAGTATGCTGAGGATTTAGATAATCAAGTCCTAATCACACTTGAATCTTATTGTGATGTTAATAATCCTTGCAATGGGGCACAAGTAAGTAATCATTTTTATATTTATTAGAAAAAAATATAGATTAATCATAATATATTATACATGTATAATATTGAATTGTGTTGATTAATAATTTCAGGTGATTAAGCTATCCAAGGATGATGAATGAAGATTGAAGTGTTTATTTTAATGCTTAATTAATTTCAGATCTTGTAATAATATTGTGTTTTTAGCAATAAAAATTTGACATTTTTGTGTCAAATTGGATAATTGATAATCTTGAGAAAGGATGAGAAAATTTTGGAACAAAAAAATTGGAAATCCCAATTAAATTTAGGTAAATATACTATAATATTCACTCGTACTCCCTTCGTCCACTTTTACTTATCATGTTATTCTTTTCGAAAGTCAGTTTGACTAGTTTTCAGAGTTAAATTAAATTACATTAATTCGATATTTTAAACAAAAAATTTACATATTCAAAACTATTCGAAAGTACTTTACATTGCAATTTTTTTGCATATCAATATAATGAAAAAATATATCATAAAATGTTAGTTAAAATATTTATAATTTGACTGTAAAATAAAAAGTATGTGGACGGAAAGAGGCAAATCTAAGATTTATACTAAAACGAAATTATCTAGTATTAAAACCTTAAAGATGAATTTTAAATTCGTTTGACTCTGCTCTTGTATATAAAAATAAAATTATCTTATACATTTTGATTCGATGTTCACAGCCTATATTGAAATTCTTTATTAAATTCGATTTGCACACGATAGGATTCAGAATGACACTCCCAATATAAATTATTTTCATATCAAAAGCTCAAATTCGATATACTCTAATTAAAAGTGAAATGATTTCACTATCTTATTATCCTCTAATTTATTATTGTTCACATCCTGAGATATTATTTTTTTTTAATAAAAAGACAACTCATAGAAGGAAAGACAAAAAAGTTTCTATCAAAAAACAGTAACTTGACAATGACAAGTAGTAAATGAATTTATTTATTTTTACCATTACAATGATTTTTATCTTTATCTTTGTGGTTGAGGAATAAAAATCACTTTTAATAAAAGAGCATTTTATTCCTAAAGTACAAAATTTAAATTCAAACACACATGCTATATGTACACATTAGATGTGAGGATATTGAAGAAGAATAAAAAAAATTACAATTCTTATTTTGAGATAGTCTTTAATTTTTATATTTATTATTTATTTAACGAAGATTTATTGATTAAAATACTTTTATCTATGATATATGTTTGCTCCGCATAAAATTAAAGACTATTACCTTATCCATTATAAGTTTGATATAAATTAAATTATCCTCTTTTACGACATAATTTGTGGATTGTAAAATAAATTTCCGTTCTGATCGACATAAGTTCCATAAGAATTAAGAAGCATGACTTGTACTATATTATCATACAAATATATGTAAAGTAATGTCAAGCAAAATATTATATTATTTTTTACTTAGAAGTTATTAAGAACAAAATTTTAAGACAATCAAATTTGAGAACATAAATTAATGACTTCTCAAGATAGAAATATTAGTATTAATGATAAACTAATGAACTAACTAACTAATTAATTAATCTTCTATTTACAATGAAGTCAAGAAAGTACCTTTGTCTCTACATGTGTATCATGTGATATTGAAAAGTACCCTTTTTGTTTTATGTATATATGTGTATCATGTGATATTGGAAAGCACCCTTTTTGTTTTATGTATATATGTGTATCATGTGATATTTGAAATATGAAAAAACGAATAAATATATTTCTCAATTTTATAATTTAGAATAGATATATTTCATTAAAAAAGAAATGCGTGTATATATATATATATATATATATATATATATATATATATATCTTCGTCATCTAACAAATTGTGTCTATTTATAATTTTCGTTAACAAATTCATATATATATATATATATATCTTCGTCATCTAACAAATTGTGTCTATTTATAATTTTCGTTAACAAATCCATATTTATTGAATTTCAAAAAAAAAAATCTTAAAATTGATTTATTAATTCGAAAAATCAAGTGGCTTAAAAATTATTCCACTCATTTTTATACTCAAAGTTGAACATGTATTCTAAGTCTAAATCGTCTGGTTAATGACTGAATAAAAGAAGAATCGAGTTTTTTTAGTTAGTCGGGTTAGGGGAGCTGGTAAAAAAATGCCTGATGTAATTTTTTAAAATCATATGATATGTTTAAAATTAAAATGTCATTTTTGGAATATATTTTTATTTAATCTAGTAAATGTGTGTGTGTGTGTGTGTATATATATATATATATATATATATATATATAT